ACTATATTTCAGATAAGGATTTAAGAGTTCACTTGACTATAGAATTGCAATAATTTTTATAAATATCTTAAATATTTTGCCCATTTGTGGAGATATTAATAACAAAAAACAATTGGTTTTTATTTCTAAGACTTAAATTGGATAAATATCTGATAAAAATTTGCATTAAATATAGTCTCCATTCTGCTGTCGTGAAGTCAATTGCAGTCATTTTTATCAATAGCCTTGAAATCTATATATTTAAACGTTTTGCCGCATCTAATGATTTATTGATTAGTTTTTTCGTATTATTTCAAATCATTATTATATTTCTATTGTATAGTAAATCAAATCAGTGAATATTAACACTCAATTATTGTATCAATTGACAATATAGTGTACAAATATTGACAAATTTCTCAATACATTATCTATTTTTATTGGTGCTACAAATTTATTAAATGTTAAATAGTTTGCCGTTTTTCTTACCGGTATATGTATGAGTAAGTTCACTTATAACGTATTAGACACAGTCAATATGACCTAAACCATGTAATTGAAATCAAATTGGTCGTTTTAGGTGATTGCTACATTTGTTGTTTATCGAATATGTTCATCAGAATTGAGCAAGGACCTACTATTATAGAAAGGCAATTGTTGTGGCAATTCTTAATTGAAACAATTATTAAATCATATTCAGTGCAGTAAATAGAAAATATTGTAGTATTGAACTGTATTTAAAAAGCGATATATTATAATGAAATTTGTCACAAATTACTACAGAATTGAGAACTACTACAATATTCTACACGAGTTGTCATTTGATATGCCGTATTGAATTCCCAATTATGAAAACATTTGTTTATCACTAAAATGTGTTTTTCCCGTTTATTCTGACAAACATCACTCGAATAAACAGTTTTAACCGATAAAACATTGAACTTTTTAAAAAGTTTCTACAATTTTATTACTTTTTTCCTTATTTCAAGAGTTATTTGTAATAGTTATAAATAAATGATACAGCACTTATAAAAAAAAGTTGGTAATAAAATATGAATTCTAATCAATGATCACATGAGAGATTAATAATTTGTGAACTATTTATTTGACGTTTCACTGACCAACACATATTTCCAGATTAAAAATATAAATTTACTGTATTTCTTGGTTACTAGTGTAATGCCTAAGCAAACTAACACTTGAATACAAGTTTGACTATTTTTATTGCTTTCACAACTTACTTTACTCTATTCGCTACCATGCTTACTATAGTAGTTAGATTTTTATATTACATTATTTAGAATATCTTAAGAATTAAGAGCAAAGTAATAATTTTTGATTAATCATATTACAGTAACATAGAATTTATGGTATCTTATAAATACAGTTTTCTTAATAATTAATGGTATAAATAAAAACATTTTTTATTTGACGTTTCACTGACCAACACATATTTCCAGATTAAAAAATATAAATTTACTGTATTTCTTGGTTACTAGTGTAATGCCTAAGCAAACTAACACTTGAATACAAGTTTAACTATTTTTATTGCTTTCACAACTTACTTTACTCTATTCGCTACCATGCTTACTATAGTAGTTAGATTTTTATATTACTAAATCTTATAGAATTCTTAATTCTCGTTTCATTATTAAAAACTAATTAGTATAATGTCATTGTATCTTAAATACCATAGAATATTTATGTCAAAAGAATTATTAATTACCATATTTATTTTTGTAAAAAAAGGGTCTAAATAGTAGTCGTCTACAGCTTATCATAACTGTCAATTGCATTTAATTTTAATCAAATTAGTAGTAATATTGTATATCAGTTCTTATGTTATAATATTTGTTATCTTTAGAAATAGTGCAGAATTTGAATTCATAGTGAATATAATTTAGTGAACACACAATTCATACATGATAACATTCAACAAGTGGGTTTCATTTGAAATTCCTGTTGCAATACAGAATATACGATATAAGTTATACTACACCTGTACAGTATACCTGATATGATGAATATAATTTATTATATTATTTAAATGATGATAAAATATACGCTAATAATAATAAGGAAATGATTGTCGTATAGCTCGATGACGATGGCAACGGATATTTAGATGTGAGTGAACTGAAGTCAGCTCTGGATGTGGTGGACCTGAAGTTACCGCAATGGAAGGTCAGACAAATGATCGAAGAGATGGAAAGGAAGCGTTCCGTTGACAGAAGGGGTCGACTCGACTATAATGAGTTCGAGAGGCTGTGCTCTGATCTTAAATCTCAAGACATTGCTCTCACATTCAAAACAATGGTCTCAAAGCGTGAAAACTTGGAGACATTGGGCGGTATGTCTGAAGCGAGCAGTGAAGGCACCACTCATTCTGTGCGACACGAAGAACAGGTGGCCTTTTCTCATTGGATCAATTCGTATGACATTTTCACACTTTCAGATAATTGTCTGCTTATATTAAAGTGTTTAATATATTTACAGCCATTTAGTACATGACAAAGACTTAAAGCATTTATTACCCATTGATTCGGACGGACGGGAACTCTATGACAAAGTGAAGGACGGGATTCTTCTTTGGTAAACATTTATTTGATTTATTGCTTGTTTGCGGTGTCTTATTGTCAATGTGTTGCCCATAACCAGTAAGATCATTAACCACTCGTGTCCGGACACCATCGATGAGAGGACTATCAATAAGAAGAATCTAACCGTTTATACAAAACACGAGAACTTAACTCTGGCTCTAAATTCTTCGCAAGCGATCGGTTGTAATATAATTAATATCGACGCCCACGACCTCACCAAAGGAAAGCCTCACCTGGTGTTGGGACTGTTGTGGCAAATCATACGAATCGGTCTCTTCAATCAGATCACTCTCGAGCACTGCCCCGGACTCGTCCAACTGGTCGGTGATGGCGAAGAGCTGTCTGAGTTGTTGCGGTTATCGCCCGAAAACATACTGATCCGTTGGGTTAACTACCACTTGGAAAAGAGTGGATCCAATCGACGCATTAGTAATTTCACGAATGATATCAAGGATTCAGAGGTCTATACTATACTTTTGAAGCAAATCGCACCGCAAGGCTCTGGTGTTAATACACACGCACTTCGGGAACCCGACCTTTTGGAGAGGGCAGAGATTATGCTACAACAGGCCGACAAAATAGACTGCCGGAGCTTTTTAACACCTCATGATGTGGTTAATGGCGTTTATAAGCTGAACGTAGCCTTTGTGGCCAACCTGTTTAACAATCACCCGGGTCTGGACACTCCCACCGAACCATTGGAATTGGAGAATATCGAGGAAACGCGTGAAGAGAGAACTTATCGCAATTGGATGAACAGTTTGGGTGTCTCTCCGTATGTCAATTGGCTTTACAGTGACTTAGCCGACGGTCTCGTCATATTCGAGTTGTTTGACATAATAAAGCCAGGGGTTGTGAATTGGCCCAGGGTACACAAGTCCTTTACCAAATTGAAGGCCTTTATGGAGAAACTGGAGAATTGCAATTATGCCGTCCAATTGGGAAAGCAATTGAAGTTTTCCTTAGTTGGAATCGCCGGTCAAGACATTTCTGATGGAAACCCTACTTTAACTCTTGCACTCGTCTGGCAATTGATGCGCGCCTACACTCTCAGCATTTTGACACAATTGGCCGCTAAGGATGGCACCGGACAAGCGATTGTCGAATCAGAGATTGTCGATTGGGTTAACAGAAAGGTATCTCAAATGAAATGTGATTTCATTCAACAGTTTCTAACTTTTTTGTTTAATCTTCAGCTAAAAGAAGCGAATAAGACTTCACTCATCCGGAACTTTCAGGACCATAGCATAGCGACAGCACTTCCAGTGATTGATCTCATCGATGCCATAAAACCCGGATCAATAAGTTATGGACAAATTTTACCAGGGAATACGCCTCAAGTCAGTATAACTTTAGACAATACTTTGATAATCGATGACTAATTGGTTATTAAAATGAATTGAAAACAGGAGAAGTTGGCGAACGCTAAGTATGCGATATCTATGGCGCGAAAAATCGGGGCCAGAATTTATGCACTTCCAGAGGATATATCTGAAGTGAAGCCCAAAATGGTGATGACTGTCTACGCCTGTCTTATGGCTCTCGACTACATTCCCAACATGGGATCCAAAGACCAGGAGTACAAGGAATCCAATAACGAATGATTCAATTTCCAAATCAACAATTTATTCAATTCATCGATCGTTACATTATTAAACATTTGATAATTTTTTATATCGATTAAGTAATATATTTTTGTGCCTTAAATTACTTTTGTTATAAATTTCTGGCTTTTATACAAAACAAATACCAAAAGCCATGACTTTTTAATTCAAATTTGTTTCACTCCTCCGGTGCTATAGTTTTAATGTTCTTTTTATTTCATTCAAAGATATATTTCATCGAAATATTTACACATATTTTTAAAATTTATTTATAAAAAAAGTTATTTTCTTATGAAATATATTTATAAAACAAAACTGAAGTTTCTGTTAATGAAGTCATGAAATAACTGTTTGTATTAATGTTCTGAAGTAAACACATATCCAAAACCGTCGAATCGCTCCTTAGTTTCTGTATATATTTATCGGAACTTAAGTCCCAAACGAGGGCTCCTTTGGAGTCCTCATCGCCCGAACAAATCAGTGCAGAGTTCTCGTTGAAGGGATGGCTAAAAATACGGGAACGGCTCAGTTTGACCTGTTGTTTGCCACCTTCGAAACGCCGCACCACTTCTGGCGCTATCACATGCATGTCATCATCGTCTTCACTCACCTTCAGTTCCATCGCCTATTCGTTTGAACACAATTTCATTACAATCAGAGAGAGAGAGAGAGAGAGAGAGAGACTTACGTAATGAGTGACTTTGTTATGTTTAGACGAGGGTCGACACGACAATAGGACTAAACCTGATTTGGGATCGAAGTGTGCGGAACTGAATCGGCCCTCAAATGGGATATTAAGAGATGAGAAGTTTGCGGCACTCAATGAATCGCATGATTTGTTTCTCTCATAGAAACAGCAGTTATGAAATTGTGTGGAAAGTATGCCATCGATTGAACCGATAGACGACTTGAATTGGATGTGATTTAATGAGACAACGGGTGATCTGTCAGCAGAGGTGAGTCGATCCATATGTGTGGACATCATTCTGTTGTCGAATAGCAAAATCTGGCCGTTATTTAGTCCGACATAGAATTCATGTTTGCTTTTGGGGTTAAAGGTTACACTCCAGGCCTCCACTTGCAGACTGTATGACATTATGGAGGCTTTGTTCAGAAGTGAAGTCAATTTGACGGTTCTGTCAGAAGATGTGGTCAAAACTGTTCCGTCGTATGCATTGATCTCCAAGTCTTTGATTGGCTTCGAGTGAATGCATATGTTATCGGTTTTAAAGTCATTGAGAAATATCTTTCTGATACCAAAACCCGGGAATAACTGGGGGTTAGGGTTGGGCTGAGACACAGCTATCACTTCAAACAGTGAGGAATACCCTAAATGTCTGCATTCGCCACTTTTGCTTATCTCAAGTTCTTTAACGCATTGGAACCGATCAGCACTTCTACTATTCAAAGCCGTCATTGTCTTACTTTTAATGATATTTTCAGTGATTCTAGAGCTCGAGCCCAAGTGTTGGATCCTTTGCTGACATGTCATTAACTCCTTCTTAATCCTCTCGTTCTCCTCGAGGGCTGACTTCAATTTCACTGAATTGATGATCGCTTCCGATTCCAACCTCTGCCTCAACACCCTTTCCTTCCGCAACAGCTCAAGAGAGGCGTCTCTTTCACTCGTATCCAAAGCCCGAAGATTTCTGGCGTAAAGGAGACGAATGTCTTTGCGTTTGGCCTTAAAGTTGCATTGAGGACACCTCTGGTTCTGACGGTTCCGAGGGTCCAACCACTGCAGATATGTAGCGGCTGGTTTGTCTACTGGTGTTGAATTCCTGTGGTTGACTACCAGTGGGCATAACCAGGTGTTGAGGCACGTATAATACGTTGTTAATAGTGTCAAAAGAACGCATGTTTCGTAGCGTGCATTGCGTAATGGTTTCACGTCTTTGGTGTCACTGTTATCTTCACTCCCGAGTGCGACATCTGCTTCATTGGCCGCATTTGACTCACTCGAGTGGTTGTCATCATTTTGGACATCCATTTGGCGCTCGTTTTCCACCGACTCTTCGTCCGATTCAATCACTTGGACGGAGAGCTCATTGTCTTCGTCCTCATGCAGTGTATAGTTGTTATCATCGATGAAGTCGTGCGAAGAGTGAGAGACGGTCTCAATGTCGTAGTCGTCGTCCTCATAGTCCTCGTAGTCTTCGTATTCAAACTCGTCATCCATTAATGCAAACAATTGTCTCAAAACGAGATATTCATTGAAATTGCATTCAAAACAAACATTTTGTGACGAAATTCTTTACTAAACCTCTGATTGGCTAACAGTTTGTACACAATATATGTCTCACTTTGGCCTCACATCCAATGCATTACCCAATGGGAGGGCTTTCCCTGTGAACGACGTTTTTGATGTGAACTCAATTGACCGAAACTCATGTCTTTTCCTCACTGTCTCTGTGGCTGTAAATGACATCCAATTGAATGAATTGATTGATTGTATGCTTAATAGTAATCGTGAGTGAAGTGAGTGTTGATTGCAATGACTTTCTACCACTTCATGAACTGTCTGTTCCTCACATTCACACCAATAGTAATACTCTATAAGTTCTCATCGCTGTAAGTGTTGCTGTGTTTGCATCCATTCAACTGATCCCTTACATGATATCTGTTGACCGTCGATGACGTATAGGTCGCTTATGCCGTGCAATACCTCCCGACCATACCCTGACAACCGCATACACCACTGGGTTCACTAGTTTGACCACCAGTATCGCCGGCAGTACTGAGGGTTGGGAGACAACTCAGTAAACTACCTGCGCATGGGAATGTATTGGTTTCTCGTGAACCAAAACAAGGCGTCCATCGCTTCCGTCAAGATATTAAGTATGCACTCAATTGTGGGCTCTTATGGTCACTAACAGTGTGTCCATTGAATGCAGGCATAGCTTTGGGCTGGAGTTTAGGCGAATCCATATTCACCCGATTGGTTGACTTCTACCTCAACGCCCGTTCCCTTCAATTCGATTGGACTCACCTCTTGAGCGCCACCGAAGCCAACATCCATTTGGTGAGTCTTGATGTCCTATCACCTCAACAGTAATATCATGTAATATGATGTCTATTTGCATAACAGTTGCAAAACATCAGTGTCTGTGCGCTGTTGTGGCAGTGGAACAGAAGTGCAAACAAGTTGTCGATTGTCTTAATAATGGTATACTTCTTGTGTTTATCATTCATTGAAATGCATTTATTGAGTCAAATCGGAGCACTCACTGCACTCTCGACTCTAACTCTGTTGCTAACAAATTAGATCTCATTTAATGTACGAAACAATTGATAAATAAATTACAAGAAAATGTCTTTAAATAAAATACTTTGGTATGAGATATGAGTCAAAGTATGAAAGGATAAGACTCTTAGTCCGAGTTTTTCAAACTCCGGTCGAAAGTACTAATAGTTTAGAAAAATATAAAAACTTGGAGACAATGTCTGGACGAATGGATTGTATAAATAGATTGTGATGTGAATTAAGTAGAGGCCAGCCATGGATGCTCTCGAATGGCATTCTTGTCGGTCTCGCCGTAATCGTAGAGAATCTCATCGTTTTCATGGATGTCTTTGAGAGCAATGAACACGAGATGTGGTCTCCCATTGGACTCAATTAACTTAGTCTTACAATTGGGTGCCTTTCGGCTGTGGTAATATTCAGCGGGCTTTGCTCGGCACCCAAATCACCGCAGCTATGTGGTGCAGAACACGGCGGTTAACTTCATTATGTACATTGTCGGCCGCGGGTGGTTGCGCATGCTGTGGAGAAACGTGACGTTCACAACCACCGGATCAGTCATCAGTACCACATCAGTACCACATCTGGTGGTGGACTGGTGGTGTAGTGTATGGACACGGAAAAGGTACAGGTGGTCTAGAGGCGACATGAGCGTCTACTTGCTCGGGAAGCCCTACAGAGCTCTTCGGTGGTGAGGAAACGGAAATAGACGAAACTCTTCCACTGTCAGCAGGTCTTTGGGATCGCAATGATTGCTGAGATAATGCTTAATAAGGCTTTCCCTCTGCAGTTCCAACGCCTTCGATGTCAACCGCTTTCTCGTGGACGAGAGGGTCGGGTAGTAATCGGTAATCAAATGGTTGTCCGATTGGCTCTTCCTCGCGCACTTGGAGTCCTTCGCCGACTTGTGGCCCACTTTGTTGTCGTGTTTGGTGTCTTCAGTCACACCATTGTTGCACTCACTCTGCAGTCCATTCGCAGCCACTGTCACAGCATTTGTCACACGAGTCGTGCATTTAGTCTTACGAGTGGTTTTGAGTCGAGATTTCATTGTCAACACATCCGACGAGACAGACATTCACTCAATCACTGCAACCCTCACCACAACTCACAACAACTCAACACTCATTCAAATCAATGTAAATCCGATTCAATTGAACGCAAAATGAATGCAAAGAAAAGATTTAAAGCAACGAATCGCTGCTCATATGAGCGCTATGTGTGGCTCACGTATAGTACGACCCATGCGTTCAGTGTGCATATTGTTGCCATCATTTGCCCATTGCTTACAGTTTCTTGACTTTACGGTCAATTATTTATTTATTTTTACCATTTATTCAATTATTTTTATGATTTATGTGTTTAATACAACTTTTAACTACAATTAAACGATAACTAAATTTTTAATCTTTTTTGTATTAACTACCGGTTATAATACTTCGTGAGTCGCTAACCAACTACATTAAACACCCGTATATAACCACCAGACAAACTGTGATAAACTTACGTAATGACGGCGGTTACCGCTAATGAAACAACAGCCTTCACTATATGTGACGTGCCGTCAGCTTGGATTGCATTTCCATGTAATCCATCAATGGTTTCATCAATTTGTTCGCATCTTTTAAATCTCAAAAACCGTTTCAAACTTTAAAGGGAAGGGAGAGTGAGAGTGAGGGTTGCAAAGAATGCCTACAGTAGTACTGTACTGTACTTATTGAAGCTTGCTCATTTCTAGAATCACTTATTGAAGCTTGCTCATTTCTAGAATCACTTTTCTAAACTTTAGATTCAAACCTACAACCACGAATATTGTCTATTGAGACAGGCAACTTTACAGTTAGTTTCAATTTGATACTAATGTATCATAACGTGCAATACGGTAACATTACAAATTAGCAATAACATACTGTATTTTATAGTTAACAAGGTTATACAGTGTAATAAATGATACTGTAATTAATGATCATTGATGATGTCTATGGACTATTTGATGAATTATTAATAATGACTTCATTTGAGTAAATCAATACAATTGCAAACTTTGGTTATACAGTAATATTAATACCAATATATTTTGCTCAATATACAGTATTTAACAATAACCTGAATAATGTTTGCAATTATATGATACTGTACACTGTACAGGGTAGTGTACACTAACGATTATATGATTAAATGATTACATGTATCATTTAAGAATAGCATTAATAAAGAATGTAAAATACATAGGTTATATTTTTAATATAAAGTTAAATGTATTCATGTATGTATCTATCGACATAGCTAGACAGAATTTATGTGGATTTTAAATTTATCTGTAGAATATTTGTGCTAGGATATAATTGTGTATGGCCCAACTTGCGTATGTTGCCTGGGAGGTCAAAATGGTTGGTATATTTGTGAAGCTTAGGTCATAATGAACATAAAGTGTCCTGTTCATTTTGACCGGAAACCAACGGTTACCGAGATAAACGGGTCATTCGTTGCCTTCTGTATGAATACTGTATAGTATTGAGTCTATGCTGTAATCATCATCTAATAGATGAGCACTGATTGAAGGGATGACCAGTTAGTATTCATATGATACTGTAATACTGTGTATGTATTGAATGAATGTAATAATAGTCTACTGTATTATAATAGTGTTGTATAATAAGGAAATGTGCGTCAATTGAACTCATTGTACAGTTATACTATAACAATATCACCTGAGCCTACTGTCACAACACGTGATAATCGCGTTTGTAACGTAAGTTTGTGCATACCTCACTTGCCTCTGACGCAAGTGGAGATCACGTCACGCACACTTCACAAACTAGCTACGGAGGATTGATTGCATTTGAACTTTGAATGTATGGATGTGTGAGTGCTTTGACACACAATCACTTTCATGCACTGATTGGACGGACATCGGGTCAGTCACGGCATCTGTGGTCACAATGTGTGGCCATTGAGTCCATTCACTCATCCACTGCTATATCGTTGTCGAGTCAACACATCCACAGCTATGGTCTTAAGCAAACAGTTGAGGGTTTACCACAAACTAGACAACAACGGCGTCTATAGTCTCCTATTAGACCACAAGAACTACAAACACGAGTCACTGCTTCTGGAGGCCGATGCCATCGCCACTCTCAGTCTGTATCACCACTGCCTCTGCATGTGCTCACTATCACTAGACACTAACCATAACCCCAACCGAGCCCTCCCTCCCCCTCTGCCTCTACCTGTACCACCATTTGTAAGGATTATCTCATACTAACTGTGCGTTTGTTGGACAACAGGTCCGACTGAAGCGGATTCTGTGCGTCACTTGTATTCAACCGTTTTGGACGCTTACGGATGTCTAGGAGTTCTTCAGCTATCAGTGGGTGAGTGTATGCTGTTCAGGCATCCATTGGCATGTATTGTACTCTCCGGCAGAACAGCTGCACAGTTGTTGTCACATCTGCTGTCATGTCAGACATCTGTTGCCACAACCCCTCCACCCCTCGGCAGACAGTCTGCGCCCCCATTCATACCACTCATACAGCGCTCGCCTCTCCTCTCCTCTGCCCTTCACTGCATGCCTTCACTTCACTCCCAATCTCTCACCACTTCCTCGCAATCACTCCATTCACTCATTCAGTCACTCATTCACTCGCTTTACAAATGCAGACAATGTTTATATGACGTGAATTGCCATCAATTGGGTGTCACTTATATGCAAATTGATTGCTGTATTGCATATTCATTGCAATTATCAATAATTTTAAACCCAAACTTTAAATACTTAATAAATTGCAAATATATTGCTAGTTATCGCCAAATACTGTACTGTAGTTTAATAGTCCTATACTTATACAGTAATAACCGAGGTGTTTGAATTGAGTCCTGTAGAAATTGTCATGTTTTGCATAAAGATTTATTCAATAAATACAATATTTGAAGAGTTGCTGACAATATCTGTGGCCCGACAGGTGATACGAATCACGTACTGTATTTGGTATTGGTTTCTGGATGTGTATCAGTGGGCAAAGTGCACAACTCGGAGATATTCCGGATCACAGACACTGTATTCATATCCCTTCGCAATAACAGTGCGGATGTGGAGCGCATTCAGGAAGTCCGACGAATCCTGAATTCGGGAACTTTTTATTTCTCGGTTGTCTTAAACCCAGACTCAGATCAAACACCTTTCGATCTGACACTCTGTGCCCAGAGATCTGTACGAACCCATGAGACAGACAATCGCTTTTTCTGGAATCGGATGCTTTACGTGCATCCCTTGAGATATGGGGTCAACACAAACAAATGGCTCCTGAAAGCCATGTGCGGCGGTCTCTCCATTAGCACCGTATATGTGGGTCACCTCCAGGCCAAGGCATGTCTTATATCACGACTCAGTTGCGAGAGAGTGGGCACCCGTTTCAACGTTAGGGGCACTAATGATAGCGGACATGTAGCCAACTTTGTAGAGACGGAACAGTTTATTTTCTTGGAGAACAAAGTGGCCTCTTATGTGATGACCAGAGGGTCGATACCTTTGTTTTGGGAACAGACAGGAATGCAGGTATGCATTGGTTGCCGTAAATTGTTTGCAAATGTTATGTTAACTGAGTTGCGACTGTCGGACAGGTTGGCGCGCATAAGGTCCGCATGTCTCGGGGCAGTGAGGTCTCGCAACCGGCATATGACCGGCACTTGGCCTCAATCCGGCACAGGTATGGCAACCAAGTGCTCATCAATTTAGTGGGCAGTAGAGAAGGCGAAGGATTGATTGGGAAGATGTTTAAAGCGCATCACAAGAGCTCTCGATTTGGTAAAGATATTCCTTACATAGCCTTCGATTATCACCACTTCTGCAGTCGTGGCAAAGAAGAGAATATAAAAATACTCAGAGAACACATCGTTAAGTATTTGAAGGAATTTGGATTCTTTTACGAAGAACAGGGAGTCGTAGAGAGACAACAATCGGGCACTTTCCGGATCAATTGCATCGACTGTCTCGACAGAACAAATCGCGTCCAGACTTTCATTGGATTAGAAGTTTGTTTTTATTGGTTTCGACATTTCCTATCATTAAAATGGTTTAAATATTTAGATTTTGTGCCAACAATTGGAGTCTTTAGGACTGAACCAAAAGTCAACAATAGTTTCTCGTTTTGAAGAAGTATTTAAGAATATGTGGATTCAGAATGGAGACCAAGTGAGCAGAATATATGCGGGAACTGGCGCTCTGGAGGGCAAGTCTAAGGTAAACAACACTTAATGTATAACTTTTGTGAATGGTTAACATTATTTGCATTGACTGTAATATAGTTAAAAGACGGCACTCTAACTGTGGCGCGAACCATACAAAACAATTTGTTGGATAACAGCAAACAGGAAGCCATTGATATTCTTCTTACGGGCAAATCACTGAACAACGAGAACTCGGACAGAGCCCGCTCTCTATTGGCCGTACATTACCTGCACTTACCATCAAATATAATGATAGCGATGTGCGATAGATATCTAGAATTTACGGAAGCGCTCACTATTAAGGTTACTGTCGGCACGTGGAATGTAAACGGAGGCAAACATTTCAATAGCATTATCTTCAGAAGATCTGATCCGTTGTCTGATTGGTTGATCGATAATAAGAAAAAGAATAGTTTTGTGCCAAATATTATGGATCTGTCATTGAATTCATCGTTTAGTGCTTTAGGAGACAACGACAACTCGCCTACAGATCTCTTTGCCATTGGCTTCCAAGAGATTGTAGATCTGAACGCAAGCAATATAATGGCTGCGAGTACTACAAACCAAAGGGAATGGATGGTTGAGCTCCAGAAGACCATTTCAAAGGATGAGAACTATGTACTCATTACATCCGTTCAATTAGTGGGCGTTTGTCTCTTTCTCTTCTCGAGACCCAAATACGCGCCATTCATACGAGACGTAGCCATAGATCAGGTGAAGACTGGATTAGGCGGTGCGGCCGGCAATAAGGGTGGGGTCGCCATACGACTCTTGTTCTACAACACATCCCTTTGCTTTGTTTGTTCGCATTTCGCCGCCGGACAGCACCAGTACGCCGAACGCAATGCCGACTACTCAGAGATCACTCGCAGAATGTCTTTCCCGATGGGAAGGTCTTTGAATTCACACGACTATGTCTTCTGGTGCGGAGACTTTAACTATAGAATAGATCTGTCCAACGATGAGGCGAAGCAATTGGTTCGCGACCGCGATTGGCAAACACTACTCGCTTCCGATCAACTCAAGTGTCAACAAAATGATGGCAAAGTCTTTAGGAATTATCTCGAGGGAGACATCTATTTTGCGCCCACCTATAAGTATGACATCAATAGTGAAGACTACGATACGAGTGAGAAATGTCGAGTTCCCGCCTATACTGACCGCATCCTATTCAAGAAAAGATATCCTACCGGTGCTGATGAGGACATAAATTCATTAAACTATGGAAAGATCGCTCACTACGGAAGAGCTGAACTGAAAACATCAGATCATAGGCCTGTCATCGCAGAGATCTTCTGCGAAGTCCTGATCGTTGACGAAGAGAAAAGGTGTCGAGTATTTCGCAATGTTTTGGAACAATTGGGTCCACTCGACGCCACTGTTATCGTCACTCCTCAAGATGTGGAAGACGACGATAGTGTCAATTGTTTTGATGAGATATTTGTCACTCAAATCCTCAAACGACTGGCCAATGAGTCGGGAGAAATCATTTTAGCGCGTTTTGGTGACGACAACCTGAGGGTCACCTTCCGAGAGGGTCAGAGCGCTCTGAAAGCGGCCAAATTGGGCTCATATAGATATGAGTTATTCTGCAAGAATTAACTCAACTTCTGGTTCTTAACCTAGCTTAGACAACTTCTTCTTGAGTTTGAACCTTAATTATTATGCTAAGGTAATAGTCTCTTTAGAAGTCTAAAATTTGATTTCGATGAAATGAATCACTCGTTGGGACCTACTTTTGATCCGATGGCTTACATCGTAGACGACGAAACAGACGTGTGTTCCGGTTCTTCAGGACATAGCTCTCCAATTCCACCGAACGATTCCAGTGAACCACCCGAAAGACCGCCTCCACTTCCAGGCCGTTCAACACCAACAGCGCCTCCACCGGCGCGTCCGCCCCCACCAAAGAACCCAATGGCTTCACCGTCACGTCCGCCCCCTTGCAAACCTGTCAGACCCACGAGTGTCTCACAAACGGAATCCAAGAATGAAAATCCGGTAAATATTGATTGAAAATGTTTTATGAATTGCAATTCGTTTGACACGATTCCTATACGTTAGCAGTCGAGCGCAGACGCAAATAAGCCCCTAAAACCAGNATCACTGAACAACGAGAACTCGGACAGAGCCCGCTCTCTATTGGCCGTACATTACCTGCACTTACCATCAAATATAATGATAGCGATGTGCGATAGATATCTAGAATTTACGGAAGCGCTCACTATTAAGGTTACTGTCGGCACGTGGAATGTAAACGGAGGCAAACATTTCAATAGCATTATCTTCAGAAGATCTGATCCGTTGTCTGATTGGTTGATCGATAATAAGAAAAAGAATAGTTTTGTGCCAAATATTATGGATCTGTCATTGAATTCATCGTTTAGTGCTTTAGGAGACAACGACAACTCGCCTACAGATCTCTTTGCCATTGGCTTCCAAGAGATTGTAGATCTGAACGCAAGCAATATAATGGCTGCGAGTACTACAAACCAAAGGGAATGGATGGTTGAGCTCCAGAAGACCATTTCAAAGGATGAGAACTATGTACTCATTACATCCGTTCAATTAGTGGGCGTTTGTCTCTTTCTCTTCTCGAGACCCAAATACGCGCCATTCATACGAGACGTAGCCATAGATCAGGTGAAGACTGGATTAGGCGGTGCGGCCGGCAATAAGGGTGGGGTCGCCATACGACTCTTGTTCTACAACACATCCCTTTGCTTTGTTTGTTCGCATTTCGCCGCCGGACAGCACCAGTACGCCGAACGCAATGCCGACTACTCAGAGATCACTCGCAGAATGTCTTTCCCGATGGGAAGGTCTTTGAATTCACACGACTATGTCTTCTGGTGCGGAGACTTTAACTATAGAATAGATCTGTCCAACGATGAGGCGAAGCAATTGGTTCGCGACCGCGATTGGCAAACACTACTCGCTTCCGATCAACTCAAGTGTCAACAAAATGATGGCAAAGTCTTTAGGAATTATCTCGAGGGAGACATCTATTTTGCGCCCACCTATAAGTATGACATCAATAGTGAAGACTACGATACGAGTGAGAAATGTCGAGTTCCCGCCTATACTGACCGCATCCTATTCAAGAAAAGATATCCTACCGGTGCTGATGAGGACATAAATTCATTAAACTATGGAAAGATCGCTCACTACGGAAGAGCTGAACTGAAAACATCAGATCATAGGCCTGTCATCGCAGAGATCTTCTGCGAAGTCCTGATCGTTGACGAAGAGAAAAGGTGTCGAGTATTTCGCAATGTTTTGGAACAATTGGGTCCACTCGACGCCACTGTTATCGTCACTCCTCAAGATGTGGAAGACGACGATAGTGTCAATTGTTTTGATGAGATATTTGTCACTCAAATCCTCAAACGACTGGCCAATGAGTCGGGAGAAATCATTTTAGCGCGTTTTGGTGACGACAACCTGAGGGTCACCTTCCGAGAGGGTCAGAGCGCTCTGAAAGCGGCCAAATTGGGCTCAATATCTATACTCAATAAGACGTTCTTAATTGAGTTGAAGACCAAGAATTGGATCGAATCTGTTGAAGAAGAACTCAAACTTGGAATTAATAATACGATTCCATTATCAGAGAAATCTTCAGATTTTATTGATTTCGATGAAATGAATCACTCGTTGGGACCTACTTTTGATCCGATGGCTTACATCGTAGACGACGAAACAGACGTGTGTTCCGGTTCTTCAGGACATAGCTCTCCAATTCCACCGAACGATTCCAGTGAACCACCCGAAAGACCGCCTCCACTTCCAGGCCGTTCAACACCAACAGCGCCTCCACCGGCGCGTCCGCCCCCACCAAAGAACCCAATGGCTTCACCGTCACGTCCGCCCCCTTGCAAACCTGTCAGACCCACGAGTGTCTCACAAACGGAATCCAAGAATGAAAATCCGGTAAATATTGATTGAAAATGTTTTATGAATTGCAATTCGTTTGACACGATTCCTATACGTTAGCAGTCGAGCGCAGACGCAAATAAGCCCCTAAAACCAGTACCGGTGAGACCGGCACCACTGCCCCCACCGACCAATGGTTGGAATCAAGCCCTCGAATCGGCCGATGCATCAGAACATGATTCCAGTTTTGATTTGCCTCCACCTATAATGCCAGCGCCGCCCCTACCTCTCAGTGACACTGAGTTAAGTTTTGAAGCCGATAGGAGTGCTCCGCCCCCACCGCCCAGAGTGGACTCGTTTAAAGACACGGATGAACCCCCACTCTCACCATTTCTCTACGAACTGCCCCCCGCGCCCCCATTGCCTCCCATTACTAATGAAGAGCCACCTCCCATCCCTTTGCGTCCAAATATGGCATCCATTTTGGAATCGACACAAGACTTTGTGGCCCAATCAAATCCGCCGCCAATACCGGCGCGAACGGCTACCAAACCACCGGTCATTCCTCCCCGTCGTTCGGCTCAATGAGTGAACTCAGTCCTAGTCTTCACTTTGAATTTAGTGTTAAGTCTTTGCGACATATAATAAGTCTAGAAATGTATCAAACAATGAAACCATTGCTTTCATTCAAACGATCGCCTATTTGCCCAAATTGTTGCAAAATTAATACATATTACTGTACAGTATATGTATTTAAGAGTTTTATTGCATAGTTTTACTGTTATTATATCAATTCAAATATACAGAGAAACAATATAAAGTAGTTTGATGAATCAAAATCAACATTTACCTTATAACCATGTAATGCAGTTTGTTCAGGTTCAATTTCATTAATAAACTGGATAACCAGTTTAGAGATTGTTTATAGAGATTTGTAGTTAATAATTATAATGTTTAAATATTAGAAACATTAGTTTAAATGTATTAATAAGTAATATGACAATGAATTTGGTGACTATTGAACCTGATCATGTTACAATACATGGTTATAATGAGATTTATTGATGCATTGATATTATTGACAATTGATTGTTAGAATCGGATTAAATTGATTACAAATGAAATGTGAATGTTGTTGTTGAAGACATTTGTGCTCTTATTATAACATAATTGCTATCATATCTCAAGTTTTCTTTGGTTTCATATGATTTTATTTAAAAGCATTCATTTGTTGGAAAACTTCTGTTTTAATGGGAGACCTATTACTATAATGAGAGGTATTTACAAAAAACCAATCCAATGATATACACAATACATAATACCATATTATTTTACAAATTATTTTAACAAAATCATTGTTTTATATACAGTATATTATCATTTTTATATATTATTTTATAATTGGTTTGATTTGATATATAATATCTAGTCTTATAAATAGGCAGTTATTTTGTTTAATATTTGCTTCATATGCTATAGAAATATAATAATTTATTTATTGATAAAACCATACATATAATTGTTTCACAAAAATATATACAGTAATATTTTTAAAATACAATTTTATCATATATTATATGAAATTAACTCAAATTATGAAAAGTACAATAATTGACGAAATGAATGCTAAACTACTTAATTAATAACGAATTTAATTCTAAAAATAACTCTAAAATCATAAATATTTAACAAAATTCTAATGTTATGTCTAATATTTGTTTGAAGAAAGTATATATAATTGTTAAACAACTCGTTAATTAAATAACAATTATTTTATTTATAAATTGTGTCAAAAAGTTTGTCATTTAAATACGACAATTGTCTCAGAAATCCATCGTTTGGTCTGATTTCTCTGTATTGTCTCACTGTCCGAATGGCTGTCTGTGCTGTCATTCCTCTACTGATCATCAAATACGACACCACAAGAGTCGCTGAACGGGATATACCTTCCCTGCAGTGAACCAATACATTGCCTTCAATTGAAATACAATTTATGTTATATTGAATACAAAGTTTTGCCAAACTTGTGGTCAGCTTTCAACTCAAATATCGTAATATTTTGTTTTCATTTGAATTGTGATCATAAAAATTGATTTGTTATTTCATTACAGTAGTGGTGATTTTGAAACAAAAGTTATTATTCATAAGATATGAACTATCATAAGAGACATAGATCACCAAGATAGGCATCTAACAATTTGCAACAATTTTTTCATTTTACTGCTAATTACAGTTACTGTACGGTACAGTACTTTACATTTGATTGCATGTACAGTACCGTAGATTGTAATGATATGCAATAAAAAGGGCTAAATTATCATTTTTGTTTTCAATTGCTAATCAACTATTCACTAAAATATATTAAATTGTCTTACGATTTGAATAAAGTACTCATATAAAGAATTTGATGCTTTAACTGTTGGTGCGATTATTATGAATTACGATACGATTCTTATATAAGAATATTGCTATAATATTCATAAAAAGCATACAAACCTCCCTCAGCCACAGCTGACTCTATAAAAAGTGATGACTTAGGGAAATGTTGGTACAGATTAAAACTGGACATATCTATGGCCTCTATTCCCAAGAATTGTATTCCGGAATTCAAATATAATTCTTTGCATACATTAACCATATTTAGTGATAAATCGGTTCCAAACGCAGCATTCAAGACATGACTTATGGATAAAGACTTTAAAAGTGAAACATTTTGTGCCACAGATCTGCGAATAAAAAATATATATTTAAGATAAATGACCACAAAATGTATTCATTACTCGTCTCCTAAATAAATGCCATCAAAAACTTTATTATATGGATCGCTGGGTAACACATACTGTCCACCAGATTGTGAGGAAATAATTTGTTGTAATTCTTCGGGAGTGCATGTCTTGAGTGGATGTCTCCACCAATTCATCGACTCATTCATTAGTTTTGCTTAATTTTCTCATCCGATAAAAACATAACACATATTCTGTTAGATTCCTATTGACGCTAAAAATAGAGAGAGAAAGAAAGAGAGAGAGAGAGAGAGAGAGAGAGAGAGAGAGAGATTTGTAGGATATCATATACAGTAGTTGTAATGATTATTAAATACAATACAATTAAATTTATAGATAGTAATTAGAGTTATATGTAGCTAATTTATAATGTAATGAATTGTATAATTGTAATTGTATAATAAAAATGAGGTATTGAAGTGAACTGAATGATAATTTATAATAAATGATTGCATTGTATAATGAATTGGTGAATGAGTGCAACTGAGCCCAAGTGATGCCAATTGATGGCAATTACAACTTCTTAAACGTGTGCATCATTTAAGTGTTAATCCGATTGAATGCAAATCCAATTGAATCCAATTGTGAGTCCAATTGCAATGCAAAGGCAGTGAATGAGTGAACGAAAGCGTCATTTATTGTGGAAATAATAGCAAAACAAATGAATGAAATGAAGAGTCATTTGAATGAGTGTTGGATTGCATGGACTGAACAGAGAGTGAGTGTCTGTCTGTCTGTCTGTCTGTCTGTCTGGCAATGACTCCAATGACTGGCAATTGAATTGAAACCAAATGTTTGGATACTTTGACGGAGACTTCCGACGAAGACCTCAACAGTCTTTGGGCGGAACTCACAAAGACGTAAGACATGACCACTCATCTCATCCTATGATCAACTCATCGCACACTCACTTTGTCTCTCATTTCAGACCAAAAGACAGCAATTGTTGGAAAAAGCGGCAGAAGAGAGACGCCATCGGGAGGTATGACATTCATGCACATCCAGACAGTGACTCCACTCAACAACTGATCCATTAATGTCTGTTTCAGGAGTTGAGACGCAGAACCAACTGTGCGCTTGTGATCCAGTCCTTCATCAGAGGATGTCTTCTCCGCAAAAGACAAGTAATTGTGAAGTGTTTGTGAAGACTCAACTGATCCATTAATGTCTGTTTCAGGAGTTGAGACGCAGAACCAACTGTGCGCTTGTGATCCAGTCCTTCATCAGAGGATGTCTTCTCCGCAAAAGACAAGTAATTGTGAAGTGTTTGTGAAGACATGAAGTAATTGATTAACAATTGATTGAATGGTTAATAGTATTCACGAATGCGTCACGAATTCGACAAAACCGTTGAAGGACTCAACAAAAGCAGTGACAACATAGACATCGATGCCATCGAACACTTGATCCACGGATTTATAATCTTCTATTCGGTCGCAAAAGACACCAAAAGACTCGTGAGTTTTGAGTGAATTTCTAGATTTGAATTAATTTTGTGATAATCTGAAGAACTGGTTGAGTCAACAAATGGTGAAACTGAGGGACAGTATCGCCGCAAAAGTGGTGAACGACACCAATCACTGGTTGTATCGAATCAAATGCATTCTTCAGTTCAATGTCAAGTACTTGGAGGTTGTGGTCAGTACGCAGACATCAATTGCAATACCTATGCGGGTGTTGGAAGTGTTTACGGGTGAAGATGTTTATAAAAGTAGTGCTCAATCGGTAGCAAAAGTGGAGGCAGTGTTGGCCTCCGTCTGGAATTATCTCATTTCTCATGAGTTCTTCAAACATATGAGATGTTTAATGGACACCAAAATCCCGGAGCCTTTCGAGCCGACAACCAAAGCGCCGACACCTTTATCCGCCTCTCTTCTCGACTTAACTCTACGGCCATTGAAGACATTAAAGGAGAGCAATGGACACAACAATAACCTGATTGTCAAGAGTTTCTTAGCGGAGGCCTTAAAGGGTCCGTTTAGTCCGCAAATCCGGAACTATGTGTTCACTCATTTGACACAAACAAAAGACAACATTAAAGTCGAGTATATAATCGACTGTTTGTTACCCAACTCTTGTGATAATTTGACCATTAGTTTGGAGCCCAATATATGGCTCTTCTATAGTGTCGTTAAATTAATTAGCGTTCAGTGCAACCAAATGAACAGTAAATATGTCATAAAATACTTGCATATTTTGCGCTCACTTTCGACCAGTTTATCGCAAATAACTAATTCGAGGATCAATTCCGACTTGGATTCTGATGAAAGTGAAGCTATGGACGTGAGTGACGGCATTGCCAATGATGTGTCGGCGTCGGACTCATCTCTAGTCGAACCATTGATTTCAATGCTTAACGAACCGACACACGTGTCGGTCATCACTAGCCTTTCCAATGAAGATAATCTCTCCAATGACTCCCAAATTCTAATATCTCTATCGTGTTTATGTCATTCCCTGCTCTCCGCTCACCCATTGGCTGTCAATCAATATCGGTATTAATGCTTAGATTTGTTATCAATGAGAATCAATTCAATAATTTGCTTTCATTTTGTCTTAAGATTGTTATACACATTGGCTTTTAAACCAGATTTCTTACGAATCCTATGGAAATACATCACATCGGTGTCGACCCCATCGGTGTTCGGTGCGCCCACTTATCTGCTCTATATTCTAAGCCGTGGCCTCCAGTTGGCGGCCGTTCAGTGGAACCAAGTTCTCCCAGAATTGACGCTTTTCTGCACTTTATTCAGCTATTTGTTCCCCACATTAGACGACGTCGAGTTCTATAGAGACATGGATTCTAGCTTTGAGGTCATCACTCAATCTCATTCATCTGCCATTCCCTTCACTCTCTCAGAGTTGGCTTCAATGGGTCTAACATTGAGAGACGTATGCATTGGATTAGTAGAGTTGGCATACGATGACACCCGACCCGCTATACGACAAGACTATCATAATGCCCTCAAACCTGTCAACCAAACCGATGACCACAAGGATGTGACGCGTCATTGGATGAAACTATTCAAGTCTTGTGTCAAACTGTTAAGACAACTGCACTCTAGAGACTCGAGGAGACAATTCTGTCCGACCGACCACTGGATCAGTAAAACGGTGTCCATTCCTGTGGAGAGACCGACCAATTTTAGGATAGGAATACAACAGAGGAGGTCTATGTATAGAGAGTTCATAGGAATCAGACACCTGTCCAGAGAAGAGCTCGAAGAACACGGACCGCCCCTCTCGACCAGTGAAGTACGAAATGTGACGATTTTGCAAGAAATCCCATTTGTTGTCTCATTTCTGGATCGATTCAAAATATTGCAAACACTTATAGCCATAGACAGAACCCAACAGAGGGGTGACGCCAACGTATTCAATGTGATGGGACCTACCATTCAAGTGGTCATCAGAAGGAACTACATATACGAAGACGCCTTCGAGAAGTTATCGCCAGAAAACGAACCAAATCTAAAACAAGCGCTTAGAGTGCAGTTGGTCTCAGCCATTGGCATGGATGAGGTGGGCATCGATGGCGGCGGTATATTCAGAGAGTTCTTATCTGAGGTCCTCAAGACTTCTTTCGACCCAAACCGAGGCTTTTTCGGGTCAACGAGTGATAGTCTTCTATACCCTAACCCTTCGGTCACATTAATTGTCGACAATTATGTCAAACACTACTACTTTATCGGCCGAATGCTCGGCAAAGCTATCTATGAGAACATGTTAGTGGAGTTGCCGTTCGCCGCCTTCTTTATGGCCAAACTGCTGGCCCGACACTCGGCCTCTGATGTTGAGATCCATCACTTGGCTTCACTCGACCCTCTTATGTACAAAAACCTGATGTTCCTTAAGAGCTATGAGGGAGACGTCACTGAGTTAGGGCTCGACTTCACTGTTCTTAATAGGTATGTATGAAATCCATTCACATTTATTCATCACTTCATTCATTGTTTGATTTATTTTCACATGAAATTCACTCTTTCGTTGCATTCAATAATCCCTTTAAACCCGTAATCCCTTTAATGGACGCAAACATACGTCCATTCATTCAATGTGTTTGTCTCTAATGAGTGCTATTTTGTACATAATTTACACATCAATTCTAGCGAATTGGGAACCACTCAAGTGATTGAATTGAAAGCCAACGGCGCAAAGATACCGGTGACTACACTGAATCGCATTGAATACATCCATTTGATGGCTGACTATCGGTTGAATAAACAGGTAATCAATGAAATAAAAATACATTTTTGCATTTTTAATAGTATTTGCAAATTACAGATCCGCTCGCAATGCGCGGCATTCAAGCAGGGATTGGCCGATGTGTTGGACTTGGATTGGCTCCGGATGTTCGACCCCCGAGAGCTGCAAATCCTGATATCAGGTGCGCCCACACCTATCGATATCGAGGACCTTAAAAAGCACACCAATTATGGCGGCGGTTATCACAGCGAACACAAAGTGATCGTTATTTTCTGGAAAGTTGTCCAACAGTTCTCAGAAAACGAAAGGCGAAAATTGCTTAAATTCGTGACCAGTTGTTCCAGACCTCCGTTACTGGGATTCAAAGACCTGTTCCCAGCCTTTTGTATCCAGAATGCGGGCCGAGAGGCGAATCGGTTGCCAACGGCGTCGACGTGTATGAATCTGTTGAAGTTGCCTGAGATCGACACTATCGACCAAATGAACCAAAAGCTCAAATACGCGGTCGATTCGGGCGCCGGCTTTGAACTCAGCTAATGATTGCAATACTTTTAATGTTAAACACTTAATAAATACTAATATCATTCATATGTCGTCCTCTGTCTCAATGTCTTCGTCAGACCACAAATATATTTTACTCTCGGCTCCAGTCAACAGTCTGTTAGCACTGGGATGTGAGCTCAAGGAGTGCACAACTCTATGCTTTTCGTGAGGAATCTTTGCGGTGATTGTAGTCTACATGTGATTAGAAATAATGTCAGAATAAGTTGTGACCTCAGACCTGACATTCAGACCTCAATTAGATTCCAACAAAAGACTGATCCATCTTCAGAGCCGGAGAGAACCACTGAGTCATTGGCTGTCAAACAACTGTCGATTCGGTATTTGCTGTTTGAGTGACCGCTGTATCTGTTGAACGATATAATGTTTAAACATTTCATGTTTTCATAGATTCATTTCATAGTCACTCACAGCGCCAGTACTTCACCATTGCTTTTGTCCAATAGTTTGATTGTATCGTTAAGACAACTAATTAGAAGGCATTGTCCGTCTCGTGTCAGACTAACACTGCTCACAGAAGCTGTCAAAGGGTTCATGGATATGTCATTTACAGTGATTCTTGAGATATGACTTACACTTACCATCAGTTCGGTCGCAATTCATGATCCCTTTCCTGATATCATAGGTCCGAACGGCACAGTCGAGAGACGCCGACACTATCTGTTGGTCGTTGACGACCACCGATGAGACACTGTCTTTGGCCTCATCTAACACTTGAATGGCTTCTTTGGAGCGACTCTTAAAGTCCCACAATTTGACGGTTCCGTCGACAGAGGCAGACACTATGACCGACGAGTCCTCGTTGAAGGCCACGGCGTTGACAGTGGCCGCGTGGGCCCGGTATCGACGCAACGGCTCTCCCGTCGACACGTCCCACACCATCACTGTCTTATCCATTCCTCCCGAAACTATGTGACTGCTATCACAAGAGCCCCGACAGTCTATCACTTCATACCCGTGACCGTTGTATGTCTTCAATAGTAGTCCTTTCCATGGATTCCATAGCTTTAGACTCTTATCACTTCCACCGGTCATGCAGTAGTCTCCATCAGCTGTTCCCAACCATAACACCATTTATTATAATAGTTATCAATCAATACAACACTTTTCAACACAAACTTACCGTTGAATCTAACGGCGCGAACGGCTCCCTGTTTGCAGTCTATGCTCTTTATCTGCTTCAGCGGTAAACTCATTGTCCAAAGAGTTGTGAAAACTTTTTTCAATTGAATTTCAGTTTATATTTCACTGAACATGAAAACTTCAATTTTAAGGGCTATTCACAAAGCATGTATCCGACATACAGTATATTCTGATACATTTACAGAATAACATATAGGATTCTGTGTGGTTACATACATATGATACTGTATGTACTTATCTCATATGATCATAAATAACTATTTGCAATATGAATTAAGTGGTAGTAAAGGATCTGGATATAGCAGTGACAACAGTGCTTATTTTATCAAAAGTATTACAAATAACATAAAGTTTGCATTGATGCGATAAGAATTGTAAATAAAGTGTGACAGGTGAGATTGAGATTGTGTTTGCAAAGCATTGCAATAGTAATACACATATAGTGTTACGGCGAGTAATAAAACAAATGAATGCATTTGTGATGCATGTGTGGGGGCGTGAGGGGAGTGCGTGAGTGTCATGTAATGTGTGTGTGTGTAGTGTATGCGCACAATCGGGCACTCATTCATATGAATTGATTGTATGATTGTGTGAATCATTGCACTCATTGTCACATCAATTGAATCCAGTGTTTGTTGTGTTTGGCCATCAAATCAATGCTCGACTCTTCCCGACAGAGAGTAAGTGAGAGAAGAGAGAGAGAGAGAGAGAGAGAGAGAGAGAGTGTGTTTGCGATCAGATATTACGGTATGAATGCACCAGTGGTTCAGGGCATGAGTGCCACTCACACCACACTATGTCATGTCATGTCATATCATATTGAGGTTGAGGTCAATACTACTCACAAACACTACAATCACTCAATCAGTCACACATCCAACACATCCACACTCACACCAATCCACACCACAAACACATCCCAATCACCCAAACACTTCCACCCAATCATCTCTCATAAACCCACAAATCTGTTTGATTGACAGACCATATATGAGCAAGCACCAATTGTTCATACTCTATAAATGATGATGCTTATTTGATATTGATGCTTTGCTTATAAATGATACTAATATTTAGTATTGATTCACTTATTATGAATATCTCATAGCATTTGCTTATGAATTGTTTGTATAATAGACACGAATTTGATGATTGATTGCTGCATACAATCAGGTGTCGAGTATTGAGAAGTGAGTGATTGTCAGCTTTTATTGATTTCTAATTGAACCATTGATTTCGGGTTAAATGTTAGATAAAAAGTAGTATTCAAGTGATTTGTATGAATGAGTGGACAAAGTTTGATATGAATATAGTCTATAAGATGTTCAGAACTAATGCGTGAACTGATTGACACGGGAACAGATGGCTGGAGGGCAGGACCAGAAGTGGCAGAAGGACGCCGCGGACCAGAACTTTGACTATATGTTCAAAATACTGATTATAGGCAACAGTTCTGTGGGAAAGACTTCATTCCTATTCCGTTATGCGGACGACTCGTTCACCTCTGCGTTCGTCAGTACTGTTGGCATCGATTTCAAAGTGAAGACAGTCTTCAGACAAGACAAAAGAGTCAAACTCCAGATATGGGTCAGTATTGGTTGCGTTGATTGCACTGAACTCATGGCAATTGAACTGATTTGCTCGGACAGGACACGGCTGGACAGGAGAGATATCGGACCATAACCACTGCCTACTACAGGGGCGCCATGGGATTCATCCTCATGTACGACGTGACCAATGAAGAGTCATTCAACAGTGTTCAGGACTGGTATGTGATGTGGTGGTGGTGATGGTGATGACTGATGTGTCTGTACCTATGGATTGCAGGGTGACTCAGATCAAGACGTACTCGTGGGACAACGCACAGGTGATTCTTGTGGGCAATAAGTGCGATATGGAGGACGAGCGGGTGGTGTCCTTCGAAAGGGGCAAACAATTGGCGGATCAGTTAGGACTTGAATTCTTCGAGACATCGGCCAAAGAGAACATAAACGTGAAGTCAGTTTTCGAGCGTTTAGTCGATATTATATGCGATAAGATGTCCGAGAGCTTAGACTCGGACCCAACTCTGGTGAACGCACCCAAAGGGACCCGTCTCACTGATAATCCAATGCCAACGAACAGCGGCTGTCAGTGTTAAGGATTACCTCATGCTTTATGTGAGACTGTAATTACCACTAAATTTAGTAATGAATATGAAATTAACTATAAATTTATTGGAACTTTCGGTCCATTATTTAGTAATCCTTTGAATTTGTTAAGACAAGCAATCTTTTAGAGTAATTATTTAATTATTTGTTCATTTGACTCGATTTAAAGGGTTACTGATTCATGAGATCTCATATATGAACAGTTGATGTTTGCATATATTAACTAATTTTAATTATAAATAATTCAATAGTCATTATATATAAAGTACTATATATACAGTATTGCCGTTTATTTATATGATATATTCTGTATATACTGTAAGTACACTAATGTATACGTTATTCTGAAAACGGCGTATATATTAATACCTTATATACGATATAAATAACTGTTTCATAACAATCTCCACTCATTTGCTTATTTGGTAATTGAGCCGAGGTCTATTGTTATGAAAATACAATATGTGTTCAATCATAAGATGTCCGAGAGCTTAGACTCGGACCCAACTCTGGTGAACGCACCCAAAGGGACCCGTCTCACTGATAATCCAATGCCAACGAACAGCGGCTGTCAGTGTTAAGGATTACCTCATGCTTTATGTGCGACCTGTAATTACCACTAAATTTAGTAATCAATATGAAATTAACTATAAATTTATTGGAACTTTCGGTCCATTATTTAGTAATCCTTTCAATTTGTTAAGACAAGCAATCTTTTAGAGTAATTATTTAATTATTTGTTTATTTCTCGATTTAAAGGTTTACTGATTCATGAGATCTCATATATGAACAGTTGATGTTTGCATATATTAACTAATTTTAATTATAAATAATTGAATAGTCATTATATATAAAGTACTATATATACAGTATTGCCGTTTATTTATATGATATATTCTGTATATACTGTAAGTACACTAATGTATACGTTATTGTGAATACAAACGGCGTATATATTAATACCTTATATACGATATAAATAACTGTTTCATAACAATCTCCACTCATTTGCTTATTTGGTAATTGAGCCGAGGTCTATTGTTATGAAAATACAATATGTGTTCAATCAGTGCTACAAAAACACCGATTATTTGCATTTTTGTTAACAAACTCCACTAAAGTTGTTTGGTTTCACTAAATCTAAGTCAATATTTTAGTCATTTTTGTTGCTTTTCTCAATTTTTTAAGTTTTTTTAATTTTAAGTTTTATTATTGATTTTATTTGATTACTTTTATTATAATTATATTATATTTATATAAATTATATTATTATATGGTATACCTGTTACATTCCATTGATTACCGTAATATGATTTGGTGCCAAATCTGGTCAAATTAAGTGCACATTCTGTCACATTCTTGCTAATCATATCTCAGTTATATTAATATAATTTATAAATTTTATTTTTCATTATAAACTATTTAATGAATTATGTGTTAATTAGCTTTGCGTTGAGAGTTACTAATAAGTGATCACATTTTGAGTTATTTTATTATAATTGTATTTATATTGAATAAAACCCTATTGTGATCAAAGGACTAGATTTGTGATCACTTATAAGTTAAGCCATCATTGACTCAAATTTGTTAACAAATAATTGATTGTATAATAGTTGGCTGATATTAAGTGCAATGCATTTGATCGCAAACTAAATCAATTGAAATACTAATTCATTCCCCAAATGTTATACATTGTAATGACATATCTTATAATTTATTATTTAAGTTATTTACTAATTAAATGGCTGTAAGTGTCGATCCAAATGTTTAAGAAGAGCACAATCATTAGATCCGTGTATTTGATGGTCAGTTACGTCTGATAATGTTATATCGATATAAACTAACATTTTGTGCTATTATTGTAAACGAGTCCATAACTAATGCAATTGTAATGTAAACTATATTATCATTTAATTTGTGCTTAGAATCAAATATGTGGTACTCTTTTAAGAAACATTTTAAGTATTTATTCATGAATTATGATTTTGATTATGAAATGCATTTGTGAGATACAATAACTTACATACAATACATATTTCATATAGCGTACACTACACTAAATTTACTAACTGTATGATAATGTGTGGCAAAGCAGTGTTATGTTTGTCAAATAACTACAGTATCAATATTAATACAATATATTGGGTTCCCTTTGATTTGGGTCTTATTATGTATTCATTTATTTATCGATTATTTATTAACGGGTGAAGGAGTGAAGAGATTGTTGAGCACCTAATCGTACAATGAATTCAATAATTATATGTTATGTTATTATTATAAACCATGTAATCAAACATTGTATTGTCATTTGACTATTGAAATATATTACGGTACTAATACTGTAATCGGTATTTCAATTTACAGTAATTAAGTGCTCATTAGGTATAGGCTATGCATGAGATGGTCTCCCAAACGGTTTACACATTTCATTCAAAAGTATCCACAGATTTGATTGTATTTGTTATTAGGGTATGAGTTAACAGTAGGAATATTCTGTATTCTGGTTACACAACCGTTTGAAACACATATTCACAACATAGCACTGCTTTGCAAACAATTATAAAACATAACACTTTCCAAAATGAACTCAAAATTATAAGTAGTCTGAAGCTTAAACTCAATTATTTAGATATTTCACTCATTTGAATAAATGTTTTCAACAAATTGAGAAAACCTTTTTATCATATAATTTAAATAATACTTTACTTTATATGATATTTAAGTCTTTATTTTTAATGAATTATTTACACAATTAAGTCATAAATGCATTTAAATAAATGAAAAAATGTAAAAACGATTAGAAATATAATAAAATTGTTGTCAAAAGTAAAACATAACACCAATTGAATGACTAGTCTATGGATTACATGAGAGACAAACGCCGGCATTGTTTTGATGAGAGGTTTGGTAGCATTTGACGGCACATAACCGACAAAACCATTGATGACATCGACAGCAACTCAACAGACAATCACCACAAACACGTCGCTCACAGAAGTGACACAATTGTGTGCCATCACTGATGGTCATGACCGCCACACAGCTGCAGCACTTCTCGCATATATCCACACTCCGTGACATCACTTTGTTTGGTCTCACTTTCATCAGTTGGTTGAAAGGCCATCGCAATGACACTGCAATCACATGCAACCAATCATCCAATTATTGGATCCGTGGCTTAGGAACCAGTCATAGATATATACCTGAATGCGAGTCATATGCATGTGAACGACAAACCCGTTTCCCATTGTCTCCATCCTCTTCCTCGTCGTCTCGATGGCGCTTAGAAGACATTGCCTTCAATGAGAGGTCTGTCAGAGGTTATGGTTTAGGTGTCAGTTATGGTGAAGTGATAATCAGTTCAGTATATAAGCAATGATCAGTAAATTGTGAGTCAATTACACATTTGAACAAAAGTTTTGTTACAAAACTCACAAACATATGACTTGTGTTGACAACACTAACCATAAATGACAACAACTATTGCCCACAAATTCATTGACAAAAGTGTTATGTTTTCAATGTTTTGCTCGCAAATAGACATCACTTGTAGACGTATTTGTATTGACAGGAGTAGGAGGTGTGGCGTACAGACAGTGACAGCATTTGACATCTCTGGACGTGATTATGATGTGAATATGACATGAATTGGTGGACAACTTAACGAGCGGTCAATGAATTGGCGATAAGTTGAGTGAATTGTGTGACAATGAGTGCTAACAGTAAGGCGTTTGAGTTGTGGTCAGTGGCCGAGAAGGTGACCATTGGTGAGAGGGTTAGGGTTAAGGTATTGTCACCATTTGATCCCTTAGCATCCGATCCACCATCTGATCCCATCTAATGCTCTTCAATGCACTGTTAGGTTGAATGCATTGAATTTCGGGCCAAAAGTCTGTATTTGGGAACAAATGAGAGTTTTGTCATTGAATTGAAGTACAACTCATTCACGAAGAGATGTGAAGACAGTTTGCGATTCAAATACTTGGGACTCAAGAAGCCTGTGGTCACCATAAGAGCCGTGTGTATTCTGGAGCGCATTCTCTGTATCTGTGATTCAAATCTAATTGTTTTAAACCAAAACGATTTGGAAGTGATTTCTTATGGAAACAAATTGAAAAATATTAGTGTTTTATGTCTCAACGAAAACCCCTTAACTCCCAATCCGTTTAGCGTTGAGTTATGTATCGCCCGAATGTTTTAAACCAAAACGATTTGGAAGTGATTTCTTATGGAAACAAATTGAAAAATATTAGTGTTTTATGTCTCAACGAAAACCCCTTAACTCCCAATCCGTTTAGCGTTGAGTTATGTATCGCCCGAAGAAAGCAACTCATTGTCTATAATATGACGTCTGAGAAGATTATTGCCGTTAAAGAGATTTCTTTGCCTGAGTTCGTGCTCTCGCTGTCAATGGATGGACAGTACATATGCGTGGGAACGGACTCACAGTTTCTGATTGTCGACTGGGATTCCGGACATATCCAAGACGTGTGCACTTCTGACTCACAGATAGCTGTTCCCGTCTCCAAACGCATCACTAAACATGAGTTTCTTATCTCCGGTCCCTCTTCTTTAGGACTATTTGTCAAAAGCACAGGTATTTCTGAGAGACCACCGATTCAGTGGACCTCTGATATAGTGTCGATCGCATACTCGCACCCATACATCATAAGCCTCAGCGATTCGCTGATTTCTATATTCAGGTAATAGTCCTTAACTTTTATGTCTTTTATTGCTGCAGTCGTTGTACAATAAATGAAAGACTTAACAGTCATTTACGGTACTAACCAAACAGTGTAGTCGACCAACAGCTCAAACAACGAATATCATTAACCGGTGGACTATATTTAGACAATTTTGATGGCAGTGTTTTAATCGCCACAATAGACAGTGTGTATGAATTGAGACCAATTCCATGGGAAAAACAACTTCAATCTCTTCTGAAGCTTAAGAAAGTGAAAGAAGCGCTTGATTTGAGTCACAACTGGCGAGAGGCGGGACTGTCGCACGAGAACTACCATCAGATCCTAATGAAAGTCAAGAGGGACTCGGCTTTCATTGAGTTATCTTTCAAACACTTTGATGAAGCGAAACAACTGTTTATTGAGTCAAATGCAGACGTTCTTGAATTACTTGACTTATATCCAGATTATATACCTCTTAATCATAAACTCGAAACTCCTGTCAAATACTTTGTCGATAACTTCCAAGTCTCGATCGACAATAGTAACGAAGATTTTGATGAATACAAAAGTTTTTTATTACAATTTTTGGAAGATTTACTTTCTAATGATAGCCAACAGTATAAAATTCGTGAACTTGAAATAAATTGTGCATTAATTAGCCTGTATTTGGAGGATAAACAGTATTTCCAAAATTTATTAAAAATGTTGATCAATTGTGAGCTCAAAGTGGATTCCGATTGGCTTATTGAGCGCTTACAGCAAACTAATAATCACCACGCGTTAGCCCTTCATTATTCGTGTAATGAATTGAATTACACAAAAGCATTAGACATTTGGATAAACCTTGAGACCAAAACTTTATTGGATGACAATTACCCGGGTCTTGAATGTTTTGCACAACTTTTAAGTCGTGTAAAAGACGAACCAATATTTTTCAAGCACTTAGACTTTGTTCTCGAAAGGGACCAGAAGTTGGGCGCAAATGTTCTCATGGATAGGAACCATACAGACATCGAGTCATTTTCCGATAGTATTATAAGACATTTGCATAAATATACCGAAGCAGAGGAGTTATATTTAGAATATTTGGTATTACAAGTTAAAATTCAGGTAATATTTTTATACTGTAACATTATTTTACTAAAAGCTTGAAATGTTCATGCAAATTATTTATTAGAACATTTTTAAATCTTTAAATATCTGTATAATACTTTTAGTATACAAATTTTATAGTTTTCTTTTATTATTATGTCTAAGAATTTGTAAGCGTATTATAACTTATACGAGACTTACATTTCTAGTATTTCTAACTTGAAAGTTAATAATGTATATTTACCGTACAATACACTCCAGTCAAGTCTAGTTCCATAAGCAAAAGCATTTATTAATGTTTTGAATGAATTAAATTTGAGTTTAAAAATACTATTTTATGATTGAATGTAAAGTTTATAAGAAACTCGTCTTTGATGAAAGTGTTAAATAATTGAGCGGAAAATAGGCCATAAAGTGTTAATTGTTATCATTGATTGAGTTGAGATCAAAGGAATGCATTACTCTTTAGCTATAATTTCCTCATTGAAAGACTGGACGGACAGGGATTTGAGGGATTGTAAGAATGAGTAAACATATATTTGACCCAAAAATCTCTTTCGCGAACATTTGCGTGATTTTCCTAAATATATGTTTAATTGAAAAGCCGTTTTGTATGAGAAGTAACTCTTCCTCTAAAATTAATTAATTAATTTAAACTCTAATCTGTGGTCAGAACGAGAAATTTCACACATATTTGGCCCTTAAATATATCGATCAATTGGTTGAACTCATTCAGAGGAATGACATCGAGTCTGAAGACGTGAAACAATTGCGACAAAGACTGAGAGTATTATTGCGAGAATCGACTCTTTATAAAACAAAAATAGTTTTAGAGAAAGTAATTGAAGCGAAACTGGATTACGAAAGCGCTTTACTTTACGGCAGATTAGGAGATCACGAGAGAGCTCTCACTATATTTGTGCGACAATTAAATGACTACAAACTCGCCCAACAGTATTGCACTGAACTATATTCCTCAGAAAAGCAACTCAAACAACGCTACCAACTCTTTCATACACTTCTCGGCATTTATCTCGATATCGATCAAAGGTTTACAGTTATACTCGAAAATCTATCCCAAGTTTTTTAACGCTTTATTTTCTACTGAATAGAAATGTAAACGAATTAGTGAGTCCTGCCCTACAGTTGCTTAATAGCGAGGGCTCAGAATTAGACCCAATCCGAGTGTTGCATATGATTCCCCAGAAGTGGACCCTTTCCATGATTGACCACTTCCTCAACAAAGCTGTTCGTCAGTCAATGCATGGATTGCGTCAATCAATGGTCACTAAAGGTTTGGCCACAACTGAGAACTCTATAGTTAAACATAATAGACTTGTCACCGAAAAACACAATCTAATAATTAATGAACACACGTTTGTATTTTTTTAATCTTTTTTTTAAAAAAAAGTTAATTAATGAATGAAATGAATTGTGTTTAGGATTTGCTCGTTTTGTAAGACAGCTCTAAGCGAACCCCAGTTTATATGGTATCCGACACATCAAATACTATTACATCCACACTGTAGTAAACAACTGAATGTCAATCAATCCAAATAGTTATCTTATAATTGTTACAAATCTAATCAGTTATTTATTATTTGTAGTCATTTTGAATAAAAAAACTTTAATTCAATGGTTTTAAATTTCATTCAATTGCAAATATTTTATTAAATATACCGGTATTTTGAAATATAATGAGGGGACTATTTAATTGAATTCAGTATTAATATATTTCTGTAAACTGTAGTGTGAGTTCATTGGAAGCCAAATAGAAATGAAAAGTTATTGAATATAAATGATAGAGTGGAAAACTAGATATTTGCATATAATCGTGTTGATCAGAATTGAATTACAGGTTTACTGAAATCTTTTCGATAAAATCTCTGTATATAGACTTCCGTATAAAGAAACCCACTTTAAGAAACAGTTAATATCATACCGAAGTTATAATATCGCTATAATTTATAGCACTTCTAATGCACTCTTATTTATATTCACAATTGTGTATAATTTAGTCCATTGAACAGTATATGACTGTGAGTTAGATTCCCAACAATAACCTCAAATTGAATACAAATCCCACTTGAATTGAATGTATGTATGAATGATGCGATTGTACGGAAACGCCTTCAAAATGAGTAACTTTTTCAAGATTTACTAAATTTCATCAAATGAGACACTAATTGAAAAGTCATGCAATCATTTCCGTAATTGTCTTATCATATAAATAGCATATAATTAAAATATCGTATTATTATTTGATTATATTTTATTTGAAAAAATTATATTTCCAAAAGTATTCAAAAGAAATACCTTGCAAGATTTTTTCCACAAATCGTAAGCAGATTACAGTTCAATATGAATACATGAATGCTTTGAATAGTCGTCAACATTAGCGCCAATGGTGTGACAAATGGTAATCACAGGCATATGTGTGTCACTGAATGACATTCACACTGCCGTCAGGTGTCGTATGGGTAGAGGTGTATGAGATAGTGCTGGAGTGGACGCATGCGTGCGATGTGTGAGTGAGAGTGTGTGAGAGAGTGCGAGAGAGTGTGAGAGATGTTTGAGAAAAACTGGTTTACAGTCGAGTCGTGAAGACATGTTTTGTTGTATCCATTAATACCTGAATCGAGGTTTCATTGAATCGGTGCATCCATTTCTCCATCGCTGGTGAGTGTTAATCTGTGGCGACTTGCATGTGATGTCATCGCGAGGCATAACCCCGGAGAGTCCGTGTCCACGACTGTGTCATCTGGTCAAGTGGCCCGACTTCGACGGCTATGGATTCAATTTGCACGCCGAGAAGGCCAAGAGCGGGCAGTACATCGGCAAAGTGGACGACGACTCGCCCGCACAGTTGGCCGGACTCCGTGAGGGCGACCGCATAATTGAGGTGAACCTGGTCAATATTGCCAATGAGAACCACCGACAGGTCGTCGAGCGCATCAAATCCATCCCCAATGAGACCAAACTGC